AAAAGAAAGATATATTCTCCCTGTAATATCACATATGTGTGGCTGTGTTCTTAATGTTAGTGCTTTGTATTTTAACTGAAAATTATGTACAAAGAACCTATAATTTTAGTGGCATTTTTTTTTTAACTAATTCAAGTGCCTTGAGATATCCCAAAAACACAGATTAATATTCGTTATTTTATCGAACGTATGAAATGAAAACATTTATTGATAAAGCTTTAAACATATATAAAAACTTAAATATGAGAATATTTATTTAAACGACGTTTAAAGCTTTTTTCACTTAAGTCAGTTCGATTGAATAAATTACGTTACTTTTAATAAACAAAAATTGATATAAATTAATTAGGTTGACTCGTGACTGAAATAGTTGTAAAATATATACAGCTTTTCCTTTTTTCTTTTTTTTCCTTAATTTCAAGGATTGTTTTTATACCACGTGTAATGATCACTTGTTCTTTGTGACACCTAAATTCTATGCTTTATAAAATAAAGATGCCTTTTGTTTTGAGGAAGGAAAAAGAAAATAAATTAACAACATCCAAATTTCAATAATTTATTTCAAATCATCTTTCTGAAGCCATTATTTAGCTTGATATTCCCTGCTCGATTCTAAAGGTCATATTTCTGTTTTAGTCGACAAAAGCATTGGTTCTGTGCTAGCACTAACAAGTACTCTTGTATATATATTTTATAGTCCCTTCAAAATTAAAAAAATTCATATTATTTTGACTAATTTTTCCATATATGGAAAGGTTTAAAGAATTTCTTTAAGTTACATAATAGTAATAATCGTTTCCATTATATTGTAATTGAGATAACAGAAGTAATTAATTGGTACTCAAATCTATTTCATTAAAAGAAATTTCAAAAACATAATAACATAATAGTTAATTTAATCAAGCTTGAACGTGTGATATTGCTGTTCTTTGGTGTACAAAAATATAATATTATTTCCTTCTTTTTTTTTTTTTAATTGGTTAGATTGGATAATTAACCTTCTAGTCATATACGAATTTAGCGGTGGGGACGCTTTAACCCCTAAAAGATTTTCAAGTTCTCAAAATCAACCTTGAACGTATAAAATTCTTAAAAGGTGTTTTTATGAAGTGGCTTCCTCAAAAAACCAAACTCTACTTTCCAAAGTTTCGTTCCTGTGCTTATAATGTTGTTCGTTAAATAGAAATTGATCTCTTACGTTTGCCAAAAACTCTTTTTTTTTTTTTTATATAAAGACGAACAAATTTATTGGATTAAAGAGACCAGATGGTTTCATTAAAAAAAGAAGAAGACGAAATTAAACCAAGGAGTCAAGAATCAAGAAAAGGCATGCATAGAAGGCACCAAGAAAAGAATAAGTTTGGGAGCTTCAATAAAATTTGATCCCAAACCTAATAGTTTACTTAATTATACACATGAGTATAGAGAAGATCCCACTCGGCAAAGGATCTCATGAGCCAACGAAACCATCGATCTTTTGATTTATAAAAAATTCTCTTAAAATGGGAAAGCGATAAGACGGAAAGGGCACTACACAACAATATTGTCGTCAGAAGCAACGTGTAAAACCTAAATACGATCATCCCTTTGATAGCTAAGTGGAAAGAAAAGAAACTCTTGCAAAAGAGCCTTCACAAAAAGCAAATTGAACACCTGTCATAAACACAAAAGCAAAGATGGTAGCAACCGAATCCAATTTACTGTCGGGTTACAGTAAAAGTATGCGTTTTTGACATCATAATACATAGATATTTCAGCCACAATGAGAATCCTAAGCTACCATGCATCAAACAGTATGAAATAAGTTTTTTTTTTTTTACATTAAATAAGTGTATAAAATAAGATCAAAGTCTACTCTTTTGGCAAATCTTGGTAAAGTTGGCCCCTGCTGTCTGGGTACATTTATATATTAAGGCATGTTGATTAGATCCAAATGCATGCTCCGATAACCGATAAAAAGGCAAGTTATATTCGTAATTGGTGAAGTTATGATGTGTATAATATTATGCTTGTAGCGAATAAAAAAAAAAAAAACGGGGGAATATTAATTTGAGGCTATCCAGCTATTAGCTTTAAATATAAGTTAGCCAGGGATGTTAACGATTTCATGTCTTTAAAAATGATAAAAGGGAATCTTAATTTAATTTAATTTCTTGTGCTTTTAATTTCCTTGAAAGAACACGTATGACAAAAAATATTTTTTGGGTCTCAATTTTTTTTTCTTTGTGAAAAAAAAAATTAGAAATCTTTGAGGCCAGATTAACGAAATTCGCAAATGTAAAGTAGTGATGAAAATAATAAGATACAATATTTACTACATTGTACTGAAGATTTGGTCAGCACCAGCTGATCATCCTGTCGGATGTAATGTATTGCTATAAGAAAAGATGGACTGCCTAACAAATTAATTACCTGTATAATTAAAATGAAATTTGTAAAGTTAGGTTTTGATAATAGTTTAAAAATTTTTTAACTCGATAAAGATTAATTAATCATTTTTTTTGTACCTTCAGGCATATTCTTCCCATAAATGCCATTAAAAGACAATTAAAAAAGAAAATATCAGTCTTATTCTCTTTGTATCGCATAATAACTTTTCTAACAACATATTGCTTTGCACATTTAATTTGCCTAACACGTAGAAAATACGACCACAAACACTTAAATATGGATTCCAGCAAATTAGTGGAAGAAAATGAAAGAAAAGTAAGAGAAAAAAAAAAAAAAAAAGAGCATAGACTTTTTCATGAAGGGGATGCCACCTTCAAGGGAGGCGTTTATGACCCAATCTGAACCACAATCTATTTGGATGAATGGGCATCAGACACCTATAAAGGTCACGGGGAACCCACTTTTTCTTAAGACATCCCTCAATAAAGAGATACCTCTACTTCTTCGACCCCATCAAGAAGGAAAAAAAAAAAAGAAAAGAAAATTGGGGTACGTTTTGTTGGTTGCTGTTTTCTCTTGCTCCTCTTGTCTCTCAAAGCTCAGTGGATATGCATACATGGTGATGATTTTAACCCACTGCTTTATTTCAACTTTAATGTATTTTTGTCCAAATAAAAACCATATCATAAATATTCTGTGTACTATATTATTCACCAAGAAAGCATAAATTAAATGGTTGTACATGTCATATAATTAATTTGGTTCTCAAATTATGGCCTCTTTATTGAAATAAATAAATAAGCCATCACCCACAGCAGATCTGTTCAGGATTTTATGGTTTTCAAGTCCAGTTACATACATTCGTATCACCAATCATGCAGGGAATACTGTCTCTTCGTTCATAGATTGATCATGTCTTAGACAGCGAATATACCTATCAAATTTAGCCTTGTGTCCAAATTTTGATGCTTACTATGATAATTTTCCTATTCTGGAGTAATCGCAATGTTAGAATGATATTAAGTAAATATAAACTGCTATGTTTTAACCATTTGTTAAATTTGGAAGGCCATGTAATGTAGAGAACGTGACAAGATTTTAATCCAAAAAAAGAAAACTTGGGTTTAATACTCGAAATTTAGCACAAATTGTGTTGAAAAAAAATGTTATGATCATGCCAGCCAACATAATGGTGAAGTTTATGGTGGAGCTAACTTCAAGTAACCTTGTCATCCGGAAGTAGGCAGTAGTGATGACAGATTGTTAGATATTATTATTATATTGTGAAAAAATTGGGTGTATATATACATTCTGTCCCGGAAAGAAAAAAAGGAAAAAGAAAGTGAAAGAAAGGGAAAAATTAAAGAGGGAGGAAAAAAAAAAAAGTCCAAAATGAGAAAAGTTCGATGGTACGTGCGATGCAACCTCGTCTTCGTCATGGCCCGCTAATAGATCTATAGACATAGTGTATGCGTAAGAACGATTCCAAGAAAATAAAAATAATTTTCCAATTTTGTGAAGAAAAAAACAATTTCATTAATTAATTTGTGTGATTAATTTTAGTAGTCAAATTATAAGTCCTTCAAAATGACCGACACAAATTTTCCAATACGCAACGAATTCCATAGTGATATCATCTAAAATTATTCATGAATATTATTTTTATATGAAAAAAGTACAATTCTCCATTGATATATAAACTGGACTAGATACTATACTTCTAGTATTAATTAAATCGTGACTTTCTCTTGATATTTATCTATCTTTCTATAAACACATGATTCCTATATTTCCTAATCCATTAGCCTAGTTTTCCTAAACTATTAGCCTAGCTAGTAGCCCATGCAACGAAGCAAATTCTTACATTACGATAGTATTTTTTATATTATTTAATTTTTTTCTCTTAAGAGAGTTCCATGCGTTCTAATTGCCTATATTTCTCTTATTGGAAGGTGATATCGGTCGATTCAAAGTCTCCCCAATAAAGTAAAATGCTTTTATCGTAAGTACTCATATTTTTATGCGCGATGCAAAATGCTTTTCTAAGTTACAAGATATACTAGAAGTGCCCCTAGCTAGAGACTAAGCATTATCAAAGCAACATAATGGATCAAACTCTTTTGAAATTGTTAATTATACTTTCGAGAAAGAAAAAAGAAAAATTCAATCATAGTGTCGTCTCTTGACCTATATTATATATAGGTAATAGGATGGAAATTAAGCTTGAATCCTTGTATCACCACGTGGCAAACACAAGCTCGTAACATATACCTTAGAAAGTAACACGTATTGATGCATTGATGATCTTATAGGTGGAAAAAGGACACTGTAATTCATCAATACATCTCCCCCAGACTCCAATGGCAATTAGCAAAATAGCAATAGCAATAGTTGTTTGTAGTAGTTGGTCGATTGACTAGCCGCATCATGGATCGCACCCAAGTCCACTTCTCGTGCCTTTCTCACTCGCTTTATATAAGACATCACATGATCACCTATTCTTGCATGTGATTTCTCCTCTCTTACCTCTCTTGTTTAGCTATCCACCCTTTGCTTCCTTCCCACAATCTCATTCTTCTTCCCTTACCTCTTCTTCTTTTCTCTCAGAAATGATGCCCCCTGAACAAGAAAATACTAATCTTAGCACCACTGCCAATATCGGACCGTCTAACATCATGCCCACAAACTGGACCGAGACTGTTACGGTTCATGCTGAACCCTCCATTTCTTCATCTATTAATATTAATAGCAGGAGCTCGTGTTCACAGGATCAAGTATTACAAGCTCAACAAGAACCTGCCCTGTCAAGATTCGCGATTTTACGTGCATCTTTACGTCCCGTAACACTCAAGGTACATTTTCTTAACTTGCGTTAATAATCTGCTAACCGTACTTTATATTTTCATTTCTTTCCTAATTAAATTGTTGTTGCAGTTTGCAGATGTTGCATATAGTGTTAGTTTGTCCTCGAAAGGAACTTGGTTTGCTTCAAGTGAACCAAAATCAACAAGAACAGTACTTAATGGTGTCACTGGTGTCGTTCGACCCGGCGAGCTACTCGCAATGCTAGGTCCATCTGGAAGTGGCAAGACAACACTTCTAACAGCTCTAGCCGGTAGATTACCCGGAAAGGTTTCTGGTACTATAACGTACAATGGCCAGCCTTTCTCTAGCTCCATTAAGCGCAACACAGGTTTTGTCTCTCAAGATGATGTGTTATATCCCCATCTTACTGTTTTAGAGACCTTAACCTATGCTGCTTTATTAAGGCTACCAAAAAAGCTCACCAGAGAAGAGAAAATAGAGCAAGCTGAGTTGATTATAATGGAGCTTGGATTAACTAGGTGTAGAAATAGTGTAGTGGGAGGACCTATGTTTCGGGGCATATCGGGTGGTGAACGTAAACGGGTCAGTATCGGGCAAGAAATGTTGGTTAACCCGAGTTTGTTATTGCTAGATGAACCCACTTCAGGGCTTGATTCTACCACAGCTCAACGTATTGTGGCCACTCTAAGAGGACTGGCAAGAGGTGGTAGGACTGTGATAACAACTATTCATCAGCCTTCAAGTAGGTTGTATAGGATGTTTGATAAGGTGGTGGTTTTGTCGGAAGGGTGTCCAATTTATAGCGGACCGGCCGGTCGGGTCATGGAGTATTTTGAATCATTAGGATACCATCCCGGGTTCAATTTCATGAATCCTGCTGATTTTCTGCTTGATCTTGCTAATGGTAAGTTAAAAAAATATTCCCATAATTTTTATTTCTTATTTTTAGCTAAATTGACACATAAACTTAGACATGTATGTATATTGACTCACATAAAAAATGTAATTGCGTGTTGTTGCAAAATTTGTTTTATTTTTCTCTTTCTCTTACCTTTTTTCTTTCTGGATAAACATTATTTCTGGACAGTTTTCATCAGGCAACAATAAAGGTAACTGGCAATATAAAACGATCATATAGAACCTGGGAAGTGACAAGGACTAAAGGACTAAATATTGTAGTTGTAGATATATGGTTGGTTATGTGAGCTGTCTGTGATGGTTTGGTTTTTTATTTCGGGCTCTCAAGTCTCAACATGAGCCATCAAATGTAAGATTTAGCAGTGTCAACCTCAGAACTTGCCGAAAGCTAACTATTAAAATCTTTTGTTATTTAATATTATTTTACAAAGGCTGGGGAAGAAGGGGGTCCTTCTCTATATGTATGGTTCCTGCCAAAAAATGTATTTTCAGCAGTTGACAAAGATGGTTGAACCATCACCATATTTGTCGCGCCTCTTTGAAGTAATAGTCTTTCCATTACTTCTAAAAAAAATAACTCAAAATGCTTATTCTTTAAAAGATGAATTAAAAAACAAAAATCATTATGGTTTGCTTTGGTCAGGTATCAAGTCAAAAGAAGTCTATCAAGCAATCTATTTTTAATGATGATTTCTGATATTCTGTTCTTCAATCTTTTCTCTTTCTTTGATGTTGATTGTTTTTTTTTTTAAAAAAAAAAAAAAAAAAAAAAAACCTTTACTTTCTTTAAGTTTTTGTCCTTCCCCACCTCTTCTTTATCTTTAGGTCTACCAAGATGAATAATGGTGTCCCTTGTGTGGTGTTTTTTCTTTGATCATAGGCAAAATTGCATATACTGATGCAAATTTTAAATGCCATGACTAGAGAAGTTCTAGATACATGATATTTCTTTCTCATTCTACTCAATGTGCAGGTTTAGTTCCTGATACCAGATCACAAGATGATCAACTTGATTTCCATGCGAGATTAGACCACCATGATGATCAAAATTCAGCAAAACAGTCTTTGATATCGTCTTATAAGAAGACCTTGTATCCTGTTGTGATATCTGAAATTCACCGAAATGCTCAAGACTCGGTTCTGCCTTTATCATCACTGAGAGGTAATTAAAACCTTCTCCCCCATACTAGGTTGATTCAATTATTTGTTGCTTTAGGTAACAATTAGGAACCATACAACTTTTAGTGATTATCGGTTTGTGTTTTATCAGGTTCTGGGGTTCAATGGACCACTAGCTGGTGGCAGCAGTTCAAGGTATTGCTAAGGAGGGGCTTGCAAGAGAGGAAGCACGAGTCTTATTCAGGCTTAAGGATTTTCCAAGTTATGTCGGTTTCGATTCTTTCTGGCCTTTTATGGTGGCATTGTGATACTTCGCACATACAAGATCAGGTATTGTTTGACCTGCAGTCTGGACTCTGACTTTCAAGCTCTTTGTAAATTAGCAGCTTCATTGATCTTATTGATAACCATAGTGACCGCTGGATTTGCTTGAAAGGACCAATTCTAGCAGGTTCCTGAGAAGAGGAACGTTCAAGTTGTCCTTGCTGCCCTGCTTGAGTGTTTTAAAATCTGATTTCTAATTGCAATTAGCCCTCATGTTTCTTTCTCTGACCCACATTCTTTACAAAATGGTCATAACAGGTGGGGCTTCTCTTCTTTTTCTCCATCTTCTGGGGCTTTTTCCCCCTGTTCAATGCCATATTCGCATTCCCTCAGGAGCGATCGATGCTTATAAAAGAACGTTCCTCGGGCATGTACCGGCTCTCTTCCTATTACTTTGCAAGAATGGCCGGTGACTTACCAATGGAGCTTGTTATGCCAACTATTTTTTTAACTGTCACCTATTGGATGGGTGGTCTCAAGCCCTCCCTAATCACTTTTGTACTGACCCTCTTGATTATCCTTTTCAATGTGCTAGTCTCCCAAGGGCTAGGGTTAGCACTTGGAGCCATTTTAATGGATGTAAAGCAGGCCACAACTTTAGCTTCTGTGACAATGCTGGTGTTTTTACTTGCCGGTGGATACTACATTCAACACATTCCTCCATTCATAGCTTGGTTGAAGTATATCTCTTTTAGTCACTACTGTTACAAGCTGCTAGTGGGGGTACAGTACCCAGCAAATGAAGGTTATGACTGTGGCTTGCAGATGCCTTGCAGGGTAATGGATTTTCCTGCAATCAAGTATCTAGGTCTTAACAATAAGTGGTGGGATGTAGCTGCTTTGACAATAATGTTGGTGGGATACAGGCTTTTGGCTTATGTGGCTCTAAGAATGGGGCAACCTCACTGATGATAAGTAATTAAAGTGCATTGACTATAATAATGTATTGGTTTGTAGCATAGGGGATTGGAAGAAATGTTCACCAATTTGACAACATGATCTTGAATTCTGAAAGATAATGTGATCCAAGATCTTGAAGATTAGCTCGTGTAAATGTAAATTGGATTCATATTATCCGATAGGTTGTAACATGTGTATCCAATTACATCAGCCTATGACCGGACAGGATACTAATTATGATTTATAAAAAATATTATCTTCCGTAATTGTGTATATTTACTCGTCCAAATGTGGCGATGAAGACTTTTATCCGTTATAACAAAAGAGCAAGCAAATCAATTATATGCTAAAGAAATTATCCAAAGAAGTTGCAATCCTTAAGAGAATGAGTTTCCGTACCTAGAATACGGAATCTTAAAAGAAACTAAGATGTTATAAGATATGAGACACGAAATTCTATGGTTATAAGGCCAATTTAGCATGGAAGGCCGGACAATCAAGTTGGTTTTTCGTTTCAATATCGCTTTAATGATGACGTAATGGAAACTTACAAAAAGAAAATAAACACCGTTGATCTAAAAACTTACATACGAAATCTAAATGTCGGTCTACTATAACATGTTGAATTGCACGTAAATACTAAAAAATAGGCTTCAAATTCCGTTGATTCAAAGAATGCCGAAGTTGGGATAAAATTGATATGCTCTCTTATAAAATTTTATTAACCAAAGAAAACTATATTTTTTGCTTCCAGATCATACATAAATAGAAAATTCAACCCAAAAATCCTAAATCAACTCAAAAGGAAAACAAATATAAAAATCCAAAAAATAAGAAAAAATCCCTAAAAACGAGTTAAAGTTAATTTTGAGGGCTTAAATAGTCTTTTTTGGCCAAAACCATCCCTACATTATGAAAAAACAATGAGTTTGACCCGTTGGAACATTTGGCATCGAACTAGGCCCAAGAAAGCTTAAAATTGGACTAATAGTTTTTTTTTACTTCGCCGCGCTCATACCTCCATAAATTCTAGAGTTCGTTAGTCCGCGTCATTCCCCTTAGGAAAGAGAAAATTCACCCTTAAATTTTTTGCATCATCATCGTCAAAAGAATCACCGCGAAAGGGAATCAAATACTTGACATTGAACGCATTGACAATGCTTATATGACTAGATAGCTTGAGGCGATAAGCATTAGGGTTAACCTTCTCAACTATCTCCATAGAGATAATCTTCTTTCGTCGCTAATTTGTTATACTCTCTTACGGAGAAATGATTCTTGGTGAGGATAGCCCATACAAAGTCACCTTCTTTGAATTTGACATGACGATGTTTCTTATCGCAACTACCTTATACTTCGATTAAGATTGAGTCGGGATATCATGCATAACCTTATGAATTTTTTGTAATCCCATCATAAAATCAGCTTGTTATGTCATGAATCTTGGTCTTGTTAGATAGAGGTATTAGATCTAAAGGCCCTCGAGGAGTGACGGAATACACCATTTGAAATGGACTCGAATCTAGTACTCTTGTTCGCAACATGGTTATGAGCAAACTCGGTTTGGCACAACTTCGATCCCAATTCTTGACACGATCACAAACCAAACATCGTAGCAAGTCTCCCTAAGACCGATTGACAACTTCGGTTTATCCATCTAACTCGTAGGTGATCGGCACTCGTTAAAATTTAATTATGTGTTCACCATCTTTCACAAGCCGTGCCAAAAGTGATTGAGGAACCTTGTATCTTTATAAAAAAATAATGGGTATCGACGGACCACTGCGGACAATACACCTCATAAAAATAAAGTCGAGCCACATTAACAACATATGTTATCTTCTTATAAGGAATATAGTGAACCATTTTAGAGAAACGATCAACAAACATATAGATAGAATCATTACCTCGTTGTGTCCGAGGTAATCCTAAAGAAAAATTCATGCCGACATCCACCTAAGGCTAAGAGGGCATAGGCATCGGCATGTACGATCCTGTATTAGTAGTTGCATCCTTAGACACTTGGCAGATTTGACAACGTTGTACAAACTTCTTTGCTTCTTTTTGAATGGTAGGAAAAAAGTATGAAGCTTATACTAGCTACAAGGTTTTATCTCGCCTTACATGACCCTCTTCGTGTAGTTCCTTAATGATCTACCAATACAAACTACAATCGAAAACACAAAGCTAGTTGCCCTTGAATATGAACCCGTAATGTAGTAAAAAATTTATCTTCTCTCCTCGTGGACTTTTCCTATAATAATAGAGAAACAAGGATTGGTATCAAGTAAATCACAAAAGACTCTAAACTAGTTACCTCAACCCATATGTGCGTCGATAAATAACTCCTCTTGCTTAATGTATTGGCCACACGATTAGTGACCCCACCCTTATACTTTACCATAAAAGTAAACTACTATAAATAAGCAATTTAATTTGCCCGCCTTAATAACACCTTATCCTATTTGTGCAGGTGGTTCAATGCCTCATAGTCGGTATACTACACGATTTTCCTATGGAATAGACAATACCTCCAGTGTTTTATAACTTGAACCATCGCATAAAACTCCACATTATAAGCATTGTAATTAAGTTTTACCCTCGAAAGCTTCTTACTAAAGTAGACTATTGGTCTACCGTTCGACTCAACACTCGCTCTAATGCCTAGTCTAGATGCATTATTGTGTAGCTTGAAGGGTTGTATAAAATCTGACAACATCGGAATCAAAGTGGTTGTCAAACATGTTTTGATCTTCCAAAATGCCTTTTCTCGCCTCTTCAATCCAAGTAAACTTTGTACCCTTCATGTAGTCGGTAATTGGGATCATAATACTACTAAAGTGAGGAATAAAACACCTATAAAAGGAGACAAGGCCATGGAACTTTGAACTTCGGTAATGGTGCTTAGTCGAGGTCATTGCTTTACCATCTCAATGTTGGACTCGTCTACTTACAATCCATCTTTAGAAACTACATAACCAAGGAACAACAACTTAGGCACCGGAAAGACACATTTTTTCACTGTCGTATAAAACTTATCTATGTAAAGCATAGTCGAACCTCCTTCAAGTGTTGAATATGAACTTCAATATTAGCACTATTTATTATGAGATCATCAAAGTAAACAACAATAGATTTATCGATAAATGGCCTTAAGGCCTAATTCATGACACGTATAAAAGTGTTTGGCGTTTGATAACCCAAATGGCATTATTAACCACTTACACGACCCCTTACATGTCATGAAGGTTATCCTTCACTCATCTCCAAACCCGATACGTATATGATGATATTTACTCTTCAAATCTAACTTTGTAAATACAATTGCACCACAATCTAATCAAGTAAGTCACCAAGTCATGGAATAGAAAACCTATACCTAATTGTGATCCCGTTAATGGCTTGACTATCTACACATATTCGCCAAGAACCATCCTTCTTCAAGCATCAATAAAGTAGGTACTCCACAAGGACTCAAACTCTCTCGCACATGTCCTTTGACAAGTAGCTCCTCAACCTATCTCTTAAAATCTTCATGCTCACTTATGTAGCATTGCATTAGGTTCTAAATTGATCCGGTGTTGAATGTCTCGCAAGGTTAGTAACTCCTCAAATAACTCATCCAAGAATACATCATAAAATTCTACAACTATAGGAACTACCGCTTTTGGTATTGCCTCATTAGTTTCATTTTTTTCTAATCAACACATAAACCATCCTCAAATTTTATAACTCCTCCTCAAATCGAGCTAACGACACTAGTTTGCTATTATCTCTTGCAGGTTTGGAAACAACGGGACCTTGTTAGGTATAAGTATAATCTTTATCCTATTAAACATAAAAATATATGTATTAGCTCGTCCGTCATGAATTACACTCCTATCATATTGCCACGGCCTAATCTAACAAGTAAATGATATGCATCCATTACAACCACATCATACCACACATCGTTCTTATACTTAAAGCCAATAGAAAAAGAAACTAGAGCTCGTTGAGAAACAATTACCTTTTTTTTTTTTTTAAGTTAGGCCGACTTGTAAGGCTTAGGGTGCTCCTCTATTTTGAGATTCAATTTCTACACAACTTTATCATAAATAATATTCTCACAACTATAAGCATCAACGATAAAATGACATACCTTATCTCAAATTGTGTATGTGGATTGAAAAATATTACTCCTTAGCTACTCATCGTCGGCAACTTTATGAGTCAAGCGAGACCTCCTAACAACTAGTGTTGTTCCCTCATCACCCATCACAACCTCCTTTTTCAAGTTATCTTTATCATTATAAACTCGGATTACCAATCAACTTTACATCACCTTCATCATAATCTTCGAGCATCAATAAGAAGTGATCTTTTCCTTACCTTTCGATACTCAAATTGTCTATGGCTAACTTCATCATACCCAAAGTATTTTATATTATTATTAGTCTGTCTTACTAGTATGTTCGGTAATTGTGGTGTTCTTGGTACCTTCGCTTCTTGCGTGAACGAAACCTCCATAACCAATTATGCAACTATTGCTTCTCGTGTTGAAAGGATTAATAAAGCTACTTGAACAATGTGATCGTTTTTTAACTTGTAATGCTTTCTAAAAGGCGGTAGAAAGGCACGTAAGGTCAAACATATTAACGGAATCTCTAACGTATGATTTTAGACCACCAATATATCTTACTACCAACTAATCCTCCGTCTCTTACAACTCATTTCGAGCTAGCAACTAGTAGAATTTGGTAATGTAATCATTTACCGATCGAGTCCCCTATCTTAATCTTATAACCGTTGATACATCATCCTCTCGAAAATTAGAGGGTAAGAAGGTAGTACGCATGTGTTTTTTTATTTTTTCCTAAGAATTAATCTTAGTTTTACCCATCCCGGTTTTAGTTAATTTTAGTTGCTCCCACCAAACTCGTTGTCCTTTTTTGGAATTTGGTAGCCACTAAGGAAACAAGCTTATCTTCGGGGACCTTTTTAAATTCCGTAATCTCCTTCACCATAGCCAACCAATCCAAAAACTCTTCTACTTGGAGAGTGTCATAGAATTCGGTATTTCGGCTTGCATATCAATTTTCCATCTCCTTCTATCATCATCTCTCATAAGGAAACTTTACTCGTCTGCAAGGAACATCTTCCTCACCTTTTTCTCCATCCACGCCGACCTCTAGTACCTCTCGATTACGATTGCATGCCCGGTTCCCGTGGCCTCTCCCCATGCTCATCGTAAATGCACCCATCTACGTGCCAACACACCCATCTACCGTGTCAATCGCTACAATGACTACTCCATCCCGTCATTCATCCGCTCAACTTGTCTGTTCTAAATACACCACATTAGTGTGCTCATACATCTCATCCATATCCCGTTATTACTTGTCTCTATGGTGACATAGTCGAAACGACGATAAACCGAGCTTTGATACCAACCGACGTAGCGAAAACTTATAAGAAGAAAATAAACATCGTTGATCTGAAAACTCATATGCAAAATTTAGATGTCGGTCTATTATAACCTATTGAATTGCACACAAATACCAAAAAATAGACTTTAAAATTCGTTGATTCAAAGAATGTCAAAAAATGAGATAAAATTGATATGCTCTCTCATAAAATTTTATTAACTAAAGAAAGTCTGTGGTTTTTGCCTTCAAGTCATACATAAATAGAAAATTCGGCCAAAAATCCTAAATCAAATCAAAAGAGAAACAAAAATCCAAAAAATAAGGGAAAATCTCGAAAAATAGTGAAAGTCAATTTCGAGGGCCTAAATAGTCTTTTTTGGCCAAAATCACTCCTATATCATGGCAAAGCGATGAGTTTGACTCGTTAGATCATTTGGCATCGAACTAGGCCCAAAAAGCCTCAAAATTGGATCAATAGTTTGTTTCAGCTTTTGTCATGCTTATATCACTCCATAAATTCTAAGACCCATTGCTACACATCAGATAGTTATTATTTCAAAACTGCATAACAATGGAGGGAAAAATTAAACTGAATGATTTCACCAACTTGACAGTACTAAATAAATTTCTGGCTTCATCCTTTCATCCTTCACTTTATCTATTGCCATCACTCGTATCTCTACTGGGCAAGTAGAGGTATGTTCTGCAGGCACTTGTGAAATATACAGTTACTCTTATTTCGAATCCTACATCATTTCAATGTGAACTATAGTCAAAGTCTTTGGCATCAATTCCATGATATTGCGTAGACGACTGACCGGTTCAGAAACGAATATCTGCAAATGCTATTTCGTAGATAAAAGCTGCTGCTTTATCGCAACTGATAAGTTCGCAATTCAATACATGTGGTCCTTCACCTTGTCATTATAGTAAATCCTTCCAAATTAATTGCAATGAGTGTAATTATAACTACAGGGGTGACATTTTCTGACTATTAATCAATGTAATTAAACAATGGATTAATTAGCAGCTCACAACAACAGGATATCCGCCAAAGATGGTACAAAAATAAAAGATGCACTTGCATTCAGGCTTATGCCTGAAATATCTGCCTCTATATAATTAGAATAAGCATCCAATAATGTCGTTAAATATGCCGAAGCATCTGATGCATGCAGTATCTCCCAAAAGGCCTCCAGTTCATGTTATTCTATTCCTTGAAACAAACCACACCTATCTATCCATTCCTTTAATTTGACGTAATCTCTTATTCGAATTCCACGTTACAATTAAGCAACCTGACTATAAATAGGACTAACTGAAGGACCCTTATTACTCAGGCCAGCCAGTGTTTGTGCAAGCTCTTTGACAGGATACAAAAGAAGAATGGCATCACTCAAAGCAATGAAACCTCTTGGCTCTCAGTCAACCGAGTCTGTCAAGAAAGAGCCTGCAGCTAAACCCAGCAGCAGTGCACCCAAAGTTCCAGCCTCAAAACCAGCCCCTAAAAAGGCCGAGCAGAAGGCCCGGGAGCCTAAAAAGAAGGTAAGCTTTCCGCGACTTGATGTCCGTATTAAGTAATGCGATTAAAAGTATGGTTGGGTAAAAAAAAAAAAAGTAATTTATGCATTTTGTATCTCCAATTACAGTTCACCGCAATACCAAAAGGAACCACAGTTATGAATATGTAACCTTAATGCAATACAAAGTTGTCTTCAACATATCATATATACCAAATGTTGTAAACATATATATTCATCATGAAATTGCTAATAGCTTATGTTGTCTAATTGAGGTTTTTTTAATGATTTATTGCAGGCATCAGGATCAAGTAAGCCAGCAGCTAAATGAGGATAAGAAGAAGTGGGGAGACATGTGAAGAAGCCATGAAAAAGTTATTATATGTATATTCATGGTGATCTTAATTATTTATGTCTCTCATCCATGCATGTCCCTCTTTTAGGCTATTCACCTCATAAATAAAATACATATTAATTAGAAGACTTGTTCGCCGTTGGTGGGTCTTTCTTGGAGTGGCCTGGCATTTGCTCTTATTATTATTGTGAAAGGTTTTTGAAAAATCAAGGATGAATTTCTTAATTTGAATCAAGGGCATATATACTATTTGTTCGAATATAACGTGTTAAGACACCAATATGCCACAAAAACTCCAGTAGTCCATTAATGAGTACATTTAGAATGAGAGTGCATAGCAGCACATAAAAACAAAGAATTTCATGCAACGACTGCGCGACGGGTGATGTGTGAGTTATCTGCAAGGTCCTATAGGCTAGCTATGACAGTACCGATCAAGCTTGAGAATTTTTGCTGAAAGGCCGGAGGCTATAGTTCTAACTCTTAACGAATGATGAATACAGATCCTTGGAATAAACTAATAATAATGATAATAAAGTGTGCGTGAAATTAAGAGAACTAATGAGGTATCTATTCGATAGCTTTTTGTTAATGTAAACATGCAAATGCAAAGAAGAAAACGTAGTATATACTTTACTCCACAAAGACACTGTTTTTTTTAAAAAAAAAAAAAAAGAAAAGAAAACATAGTATATTCTAAATTGTAATGACAATTGGATGGGCAGGTGGAAAATTCAAGATTCGAAATTTTTGACTTTATAAACCTAGATTCATTAATAATTGGGTAAATTTTAATTTGCCTCCTTAGTTTTCTGTGTTGTCTCAATTTTACTTAAAAAGTTAATTTGTTTTAATTAGATCTTATATCTTTTTTATTTTTTTACTCTTTATTTCTGTCTATTTTGCCAAAAATAGTAACATAAAAGGTGTTTAAATCTTAATTTTATTTTAAAATTAATAAAATATATCAATATAATCCAAAAGATAAAAATAAACATATTGAAATTAAAAAATTATTAAAAAATATTTTTTTATGATAAAATGATTTTTATTCATCAATTAATCATTCGACAATATAAAATTAATATTAAGATAAAAAAAATGATAAAAAAAAATTAGCAACAACATGAACCCCCGCCATATATTGTTACCTTTTCTATGCTCTCTTATAATTACCATGTCATATCTACATATTTTATCTAATTTTTAATCAAAATTGCTTAAAAATTTTAAATAAAAATTCTAAAAAAAAAATTGAAATTCTATATATATGGTTAGAATTGTAGAATAAGGATATGACAAGTCTGACATCAAGTAGAATAAAATTAATTTGAATCTTAATTTTCATTTAACTATAGACTTGACATATGAAAAAATAATTTTACTAATTGAGAATTGAACTTAGTAGAATTGGAGTATTTCTTAAGAAATTAGCCCTTTTAGATTTTAACATATATATAGTAGTTTTACTAAAATAAATGTTTTTTTTTTCAATTGATTTTCTATTTTTATTTTTGTTTATTTTTATCTTTACTTTTTGAGTAATATTGAGATATTTCAAAAAAACTTATGGAGCTAATTGAAATTTAAACATGTTTTCTGCTATTATTTCTTATAAAAATTGGACGTAGGGAGGAAATTGGAGTAAAAATAAAAAATATAGATATGAATTGAAACAATAATGAAAGATATAAAGATTAATTGAAACAAATAAAAAAATTTAGATGAAATTGAGACAACATATAAATTTCAAAAGAGTAGATTAAAATTAACCCTTAATAATAAATCGAATAATTAAGGCAACTATGAAGCATGAATAATCACTATTTTATCTTGATCATGCATTTCAATACGTATTTGATACTTATCAAAGGCATCCTAAAATAACAAGAAAATAAAAGATGATACCTTGAAGTATCAATACTCAAGGACAGTTCATTAATATAAAATTCAACTATTTTAATTTCTCTATTTTATACTTACAGATGGTCCAGTAACTCGTACGTATAAGTTGGTTGCATTTATTACAGGAATGTGTAGGGGGAAAAAAATACTAGTTGGGAAAACAAGTATCTATCCTATACACGTTTTACAAAAAAAATTAATTCAACATTTAGTTTATAAGCAGCTGCATACCCATGCTATATTGCGGTCAGACAACTATTACATATGTAGTATCAACAATTCCTATGATACAATGTGGATAAAATTTTTATTTCTAATGATTAATATAAATGGAATCTATTTGATGAGCGAAATTGTTATAAATTTCAAGTAATATATATATAAGCATAAAAATTACATTTTAATAATTGATACTAATGATTCATATATATTTAATAATTGATACTTTAAGAGAATTTTAATAAGAAATGATAAATTGAAGAAATAAATTTTAAACAATAAGAGTAATATGATATGATATATATGTTTAATCTAAAATCTTAAAATACATCATATTTCATTATCATCAAATTGTACATAAAACTAAAAAAAATAACGATATGTTTTCTATAATTCTCACACTCAATTACATCAAAAATATATATATAAATAAATTATTGGAAGGAAAAAAAAAAGTCAGGCCCTTGTTAGGCCAGGCCAGCCGCCTAGGCCTGCTTCTGTAGGTCACGGACGAGGCTAGCCCCACTTGGGCCTGATTCTCCAACCTTTGGGTCCTGACCAGCCTCTTAAAAAAATTCTTGGATTGAAATAAAAACTTAAAAATAACAAGGATCAAAGCGTATGAGGTTGTATAATTTGTATACAATTGTCCGAGAAAGAAGCAAAAATTACATAAAAACCGAGCTTCAATGAATAGTGTTAATGGATCAATAGCTACAGTAATATCTCAATGTACTTGTTAACGAAGAAGCTATGTTGAAGCAAATTATGTCTTCTTTTATTTTTTTGTTTCATTTGACCTTCAACCCTTCCAGTAGCATAACCAAACTTATATCAAGTCCATGAATGATGGTTGTAAAGAGTATTTTTCTTTTATTCTAAAAAAAGGATTATTTTCTTTGCTTAAAAAAAAAAAAAAGAGTCTGTTTTTTTTGGTAATCAAATAAAAAATTCAATCTTCTAAAAATAAATAATAAATAAATCAATAAATAATTTGGGCCATATGGTTACAATAATTCTATGGGCCGAATCCAGCTACAACTGAGATAATAGAACATCCAAGTTACAATATATTATCGGAATTCTTGAAGCCTGCCAAAATAAGCATACATAAAGGCCACTCGAAGGCTAAAACACACGTCACTAAAAGGATCTGCAAATTTAATCAAAATGTTTTTTCATTTCTTTCGTAAAGTAATTAAGAATTGATGTTTGATGCTTGATAGGACTTTCCTTGAGAGATATTCCTCTGCATGCCATGTTGAGAATATAAATTTTTTTCACCACCAAGATTCAAGAATTCCGATTTTATACCTTTATCTCCTTTTCTTTATTTTGAGTGCTCATTTTATCTTTTTAAATTTTATGGGGTATTTCTATTTCTCTTTGAAAGTTAATAATCAGGATGGAGATTGTAGGTTATGTTGTGTTACAATATAGACACAGAACACATCAGTGTATCTATATAGATCAATTTTAAGCATGATGCTCGTCAAGTTAATATATTAATTATCGAATCAATAAATAAATATATTGATATGATAGTCAATCAATTAAAATATTAACATGTCACATAAATAATTTATTAATTTCGTAAATGATATATTAACTTATTGACTACTATTTTAATAAGGTTATCAACATAGACTTACCGACATGTTTTTTAATTGACACTATATAGCCTCGTAATCATATCTAATTAAAATATCAAAACATTAAAATTGAGGATTAAATTTTAAGCAATGAACACATCAATATTTCTTTTTTTCTTTTTTCTTTTTTCCTTCATAAACTACTTTTAAATTGAGGATTAAATTTGGCACCTAACACAAACATTAAAGATATGCAACTGGACGCCAAGAATATGTATCAGTGAAGAATTCTAAGCTAAGTATCTAATGCTCTCTCTCTCTCTCTCTCTCTCTCTCTCTCATATATATATATATATATATATATATATATATATCTTTCAGATGCCATCCAAATCAGTTATTCCAATTCTTTTTAGTTGCCACCGTCCCCTTGTAATCTCTTTATTTTTATCTTACCTTTTTGATTCTCATTCTTCTTCTACACTTGCATGACTCTGCCGTATATATAAACCATGTAAGGGAAAATGGTACGTATAGAAGAGGCAAGCTTATTTAGACATAGCCATTTTATTTCTTCACCAGTCAGTGAAGCATTACAAATTAATGGCATCATTGAAGGCTGAGAAATCTGTTGGCACTCAACTCTTCGGGCAGGCCAAGAAGGAGCCTGCCAAGCCTAATGACAGCAACTCCAAAACCACGGCTTCAAAGCCAGCCACAAAGAAGAGTGCACAAAAGCCTCAAGAACCCAAGAAGAAGGTAATAGACTTGAGACAATTTCTTTGTATTTGTTGTAGTTAATTAATTAATAACAGAAATATCGTTATGTTCAGGGAAAAGGAGGCAAATCAGGGAAGCACTAAGCTAATCGTAAAATGCATAAGCGGTGGCCTGTGAGATATAAATTAAGTAATAGTCGCATGCTATCTAATTTCAGTATTGTGCGACAAAAGCCCTATCTTACTGATGGGCTAGTGATGCATCTGAATGTAAGGCACTTTGCGTTAGTGAAATAAAATTTGGTATTTGAAACTGTTCTTACACAGCACCACCTCATCAATCATTTCCATTTTTAATTCCTCTCCGACCTCAAGGTTGTCTCGATAGTTTTTTTAATACTCCCTTCTTCATAATAATAATAATAATAATAATAATAATGCTGTAAAACAAAATCATAAATTGAAAGCTTCAAACGGTTATTTTGTTGAATCTTTTTCTTGTCTTGATGGATAATTTGATAAGCTTTTTTTTTTTTTTTTGGTATTTCAAATACGATCTTCTAATATATCAATTATTCAATTTTATCAGAACTACTCATTTTCAAATGATATCCATATTGTTCACAAATATTCATTTTTTATTTAACTTTTTTTTATATAATTTAATCCATAACAAATTTCAAAATTGAACCTACAAATTCTTGTATTTTTTAGTTAGATTACCATAAAGTAAATTGAATTTTATAGTTTTTTACCTTATGGCAAGATCATTGTAGATGAATGACCACCCAATTATGAATGACAATTAATAGGTATCCAATCCAATAATTTAATTTTTTTTATCATATTCATTACTCATTAAAAAATCACTATATAAATTTTTATCCTCGCTCACATTAATTTATTCTTCTATTTAATGATATTTAATATCTACTAAAAATAATGTCAAAAAAATTATTTTTTGAGCAAATGTTATTCATCTTTTATTATTTTCTACAACTAAAGCGTTAAATGTTTAAACAACGTCGTTTAAGCATTTCATTTTAAAAATAAAAATTATAATAATGGTCAATACCGATAACATATCGTCCCGAGACATGCTATATTATTAAAGTATTGTTGGGATTACTTTTAAAACTTATGCTATCTTATAACAACATTTCATGCTCGATTTAGCCAATAATAAGTGAAAAATGAGACATGAGTCGGACCTAAAATGTTGTTATAAGAAAGCACAAGTTTTAGAAATAGTCACATAACACTTTAATAGTGCAACATCTCTCCTTCTATTCAATTCAATTAATTCAGTTGATATAATAATGTTTGAGAAAGACATATTGTCATATATTAGGATATCATCTATATTAACTATTATTATATATTTTCTTTTCAATTTTTTGTAAAATAAAAAAAATGATTATTTAAGCATTCAAGTTAACAGTAAATGTTTTAACCGTTAAATATAATGAAAAAATATTTGTTAAAAAACAATAATTTAGAATCCAAATAACTTAAATTAGTAGCAAAGGTATTAAATTGTCGATATTTTGGGTAACCGTTGCCTTTAAGCATTTGTAACCATGCCAAAGCGTTACTACTGCAGAGTGCATACGGTTCATACCCCAGTTCAAATACCGTTACAAACCATTCAAATACATGACTGATCTTGACAGCATTCAAGATCACCAAGCATTAATTAGAGAAACACAACGCTCCATCAATCTAAACATGGTTAGCAATCATTAGCTGGCAAATATACACCTATGACCATGCAACAATTTCCGTCGAAATGACGAGTTTCAGAGGATGGTGTAAAGACTAGGTACGATATATATATATATATAGTGCTTCTTTTTCTCTTTCAAACCTTGTTCTCGTAGTTGAATAAGATAGAGGAGGGGAGAGGGAGAAGGATATCCAGTGCTTGGAAGAACTGACATTACAACCCACCTGACAGTCTACAGACTTGCCAGAACACTCTCTTACCCTCCTCACAGACTGCAAATTCTTAGGACATTGATGATGGAAGGCTGAGGCAATCAAAATTGCTTCTACGCGTTGACGTAAGTTTGATGAGAAAATAAACAAGAAAAGCAACAAGGAAATACGAGAAAGAAAGTAAGATTTGATATTTCGGATATACCAACTGCCAGGAATACTGAAACAAAAAGAAATGGGCTTCTTGACATAGCTATTAGCTAACCAGTTGGTTATGCGTTATAGCTGGACCCAGTTCTTTCAAGAGTGAGTCCATAATCTGATATTTTTTACAATGCAAGTTGGGCTTGACGTCTTTAGACACACTTAGGTAATTCAAAAAATGATTTTCATCCATGACATGTAAGATGCGTATGAACTGACCGAATCAACAAAAATTTTATGGGATTTTAGGGTTTAGATTGTTTGGAGACATTAAAAAGGGCTCACTCTGTGAGCCAACTGTAACATGCATTCAGGTACAAGGCGTCTTCTTGGAGAAGCCGCTGCATCTTTGGCTTGGGCTTCTCTATCATCAGAATGAATGATGGATACCAAATCTTCAAACATCCTATCGTTGCCACCTCTCATTGGATCCTGAACGGTATAAAAAAACCATACACATTAAACAAATCAATGAGATGAAGCATTGCAATCATTCTCCATTTTTTGCAGCAACCACAGAAGTCATTGGCAATCCAATAAATAGCAAAAAGGAAAGAACTAGAATGGAAGATAAGAATAGAGTTGTCTCTGCCTATTAAGGTTCAGAGGATATCGTTAGACACTTATAAATAGCAAAGCAATTACTCTGACAACTCACTTACCTGTAGAAACAAATCTGTATGAGTTTTCCCTTCGTATAAAATTGATTCAGCTCTAACTCCAACGCTTTGTAGGGTTTCAGCAAAATTTTTACTGAAACAATAAAGAAATATTAACAGGAGGCTCTCTAAAGCATTACATGTAAATTGTAAATACTAGATAGCTTATTACAGAGGTGAAGTGTGAAAGTGACGAGTGATAAATCGGTTTTCCTCTTTCTTTGGTACATTGTTGATCAAAAAGATTATACTTCCTGTCATTTCATAGAAAATATTTTGACCTGAGAATTTATGAGAAATCAATTTACTGAAAAATCAGATCACGAGTCAAATGTCAAGTTAATCATTGGAACTTTTCACGCAATAATTTGCTAACTCAGAGCAGTTGACTGAAAATTTCTACCTTCCATCTAATTCAACACAGCTGTAAATTTGATAAGAGAAAATCTAAGAATCAAAGGGCCACTCACCTTAGACAAAAGCATCATACTGGCTGCAGTTCAGGGTTTATATTTTATATGGAGGCTCAAGTAGGATCATACAATAGAAGGTTATGGAACAATAATAAGCATACCATTAATTAACGGACCCAACTATTCACCAATATTGAGCTTGGTCTAAATTGTTAGAAACTACATGTCCACAATTTCCTATGATAATCTTCAGACTTTAATTCTCTTCATTACCATCACTATTGAGCCTTCGCTGCATTTGTAATTTCCTAATGGACGTAACTCTAGGATCATAATTGTAAGTTCGACAAAGTATAACCAAGTGAATCATTTGTGTTTACATGTCCTGTTTCATGTATGGAAAGAAATGTTACAATACCCCATAACTAGCAAGTGAAACTCCCGGAAGCATGGACTTGGTATGATAATGAATATATTGACATGACCATTTCTAAACTGCAGGGTAAATCAAAACGGGGGTGCGTTAATAGAATATGCTGTATTCAGTTATATGCATCTTTCTTTTATCATTGAATATTTTAGGTTTGTAAACATTAATACCATAAAACATGTAATATGAAACCTTCCTATATTTTACTGAGGGTATCACACCCTTTTCATCCCAAGAAAACCCACTCGATGGGCATCTAAAATATTTAAGTATCCTATATGTCTCGAAATTTAAAAATGTTATGTTTTAGAAATATTGGAATGTACTGTGGAGTATCTAAGGAATATTAGTACCAAACTACCAATATAGGCAAAATATGGATATATTGGTCCTAGCAGAAGTATCCACATTTCATAGGCAAATCCAGTTCTTCGGATCAACAATTAAAAAAGTAAACAAATCAAATGAAGCAAAACACATCCATGCAACAATCCCACATGCACTTATAACGATAAAATAAGCACTGCAACAATCACTATCTAGCAAATTTAAGCCCGCATGTCTGGGGGAAAAAAAAATGAGAACAAATATGGGATCGTTCCTACGTCCCACTCATAATGACACTGACACGAATGCTTGTACTTTATGTCTTAGATGACAAGACTTCAAAATTTTTGAACATCGAAAATAGAACAGATTCAATTTTAAAAGTTGAACTCAAAAACTTCATGCCCCTGCAAGCCTATGAATGATATAAAAAAATATTGGAAAAAGCAAAGGAGAGATAATATATGCAAAACACAAATTTTAACGATGAGAATCTGACCTGGCATCTGCTGGAATGGAATAATCTGCAGTGCCATGAAAAAGAACAATGGGAGGTAGAAGAGAAACTGCATTTTTCAAGTTTGGGTCCTGCACAATTACTTCAGGAGAAAATCGTCGTAAAGATTGTTCCCCTTCCATTATGCTGAAGGAAAATTTGGAACAATTATGTACCACAATCAAAGACAGAGAATAAGGTATTAACCAACAAAAACAAATGCATAACCAGAACTCATCAATAAATGAGGAAGGCAAATACCTTAAGAATATGGATCGGTACAGACCACGACTATGGAAGTAATCTACAAGGTTAAACAAATTGTACCTGTTTGGAGAGTTAAGGGAAACTATAAGAAGCAATAAAACTTGTGGAAGGAAAACACTTGAACAATATTCATAATAATTTATTACATAAGAAAAGGTCATTTAGTTTAGAAAAACGTTTAACAAATACCTACCCTCCAGACAAGCCAAAATAAGCCTTTATCTGTGAAACACTCCAAGTAGTACTCTCTCCTTCACCAGTCTCTTTGATTGCCTGATCCACAAGTGCACAAGCAGCAATATGTCCACCAGCCGACTGTCCCATTAAATAAATCCTATTCAATGGCAGCATGGAGAAAACAACATCATTAAGAATAATATAAAGTACCAAGCAAACATTTGAAGTTCAAACAAGAAGACAAAAGAATTCAATTACCTGTTAGGATCACCTCCATATTCAGCAATTTTGTTGCATACAAATGAGATACCCTCAGAAGCATCCTCCACCATATTGCTCATGGTTCCCTGAGGGAAATTTCTGCATGCAAATGTAAACTGTGAGTGGTGGGTATTTAGGTGCCACACACATTGGTCGAGAAGTTGCCCAGCCTAGAAGAATCACACTGATGCAAGAGACAATCCATGATTATCACATTGCATAGAGAAATTGTTGAACCAGGAAGGGAGCACAAAACACTAGACACAAAAATTTTGGCATCCATTGCGATGATAAATGCTTCTGAAGTAAATAGAATCCACCAATCTGCAAGCTTATTCCTTGACGATGAAAATGGGTATAAGAGCATATCTCGTATCTCCAAAAAAGGAAAAAAAAAAAAAAATTCTTCAAATCAAAAAAAGAGGCCAAATATGTGCAGAAGTTATACACACAAGCTCCCTAAATGTCAAATCAAACTCATGTCAGTCCATTTTTTAAATGGAGAAATGGAACACAAGGTGGAGGAAAGATTTGGTTCAACAAATATCAAATCCTTTCTGCCTGGTAAGATAAACCTGAGTAAAGTGCTTGATAAATAAATATAATTGAAGAGAACTCATTTAAAGACGGTGAAATTGCTACAAGATCTTTATGGATACAATACAAGAGTGAAATTAACCATCAATAAGTAGGGGGAAATAGTAATGAAGGACATCCAGAGTGATGGCGATGACTGATAAATACACTGGTAAGGAGTAATTAGTTCCAGCTGCAAACAATAAGTGATGAGAAAAAAATACAAGGAAAAGCCAGTCTAGATAATGAAATGTACATGATGAGATGAAGTTCAACAAAAAATCTGGCCTTGGAAAGAATTGAATGGCAAAGAGCATATATGTTGCTAATGCCAAAATGGTTGACTTTTACTTGGGTGAGGTTCAATAGCAGTTCATAATAGAGGATTAACAAGCCCAAGCAAAAAGTTCATCATGTTAGAAAGTAATATAAAACTATTTTTGGAGCCTCACTCATCACCTTAAGCTTTCGAGTTGAGATGGTTCTTTGACATGGTATCAGAGCCTATTGAGGGGGTGTATTAGAGAGTAATATAAAACTATTTCTGAAGCCTCACCCATCACCTTAAGCTTTTGGGTTGAGATGGTTCTTTGACGCATCCTTCAATGGATACAATCATAAATGAAAATCCACATGCTTCTCTGTTATTTTAGGTTTCATGACAATTGTTCAGCAAGGGAGAGTTGCAGAGCCACTAAGTTAAATTGCATATCATGTATCTGACTGCAAATGCAAGTGTTAATGCACAAAGCATGTGAAGGTTGATGCCAATTTGATATCTCAATATCAAATTCAGAAAAGAAAGATAACTTGCACAAGGAAAAGTGTGCTTAGAATGATCAAATAAAACAGCCAAGAAAGCTTTTAGAGGCTGGGTTATTGACATCTTAGATTGTGCTTCAAGGGCAGCTTATAACTATAAATTCATTACAGCACAGAACTCAAACCTATGGCAAATTTACCAAACTCTCTCAGGACTGGGTTTTCTTTTCCTAACAAGATAGCAAGTTCTTGTACAAAAGAAGTTGACAAGTTGTGTCATGAGGTAAAACATTTCACCTGTAATCTATGCAAGCCACCATGATATCTCTTTCTGATAATTGTTGTCCTAAAAGAGACCCCCAAGCTTTGTAACTGCATTAACCAAAAAGCCACTCAAAACATGTCTTGGATTCATAAACAAATATGAAGAACGGAGGATATAGGAACTGATAATGAAATTCATAAATTTGACTAGACAAAACCTATAAATGGTCCACGTCAAATTACGCAGTAATTTGTTGAATAACAAAAGCTTATAGGAACTGACATTGATCCTATACCTCAAAACATATTCTATCATGGACCTTAAAAAAGTAAAGTTTTGGTCACTTGATTTTTTTTTTCTTTCCTTTTTGATGAATCAGCCATTTTATTATGGAAAAAAGCAATACAGAATACAAAGAAGCTGCTACAGAGCATATGGCAGAGAACTACAGAAACAAAGAGTTACAGAGAGAGCACCTAGTGGATGAATTATAGATGAGAAAAAAGCTCTACATCTCTACTCAAAGCCTGTTTCGCCAAGGAATCAGTGACGTCTAGCATGGATAATAGAGTAGGTAGAGAATTTTGTCACTTGATTTAGCTCTACAGTTATTATAAATGTTGCTTTGTCTCCCTCTGCTCGTGTAAATTTTATCATAAAGTATACAAGATGTGTATTCATTATTATCATCATGCATCTCAATAACACAATTATATGTTGCCTAAGCCTTGTCTGTGAGAAAATGAATGCTTTGTGATATTAACTCAAGCAAAGCTGAATAAGATGAGTATTAAAAGATCAAGCCTTTGCAAATTCAAACACTAGCAGAAACACAGATCACTCACCCAATAATCCAGGCTCCTCCAGTAATAAATGCAACAACAGGTTTTGGACCATCGGTATTTTTTGGTAAATACAGATCAAGCCTGCATGAAAAAGCCTTAACTAGTCATGCCACAAATTCATGTTTTTACAAGGTTATGAGAACTTATCGCATGGAAGAAACACATAAAAATAAACAAATTCCTTATCCAACCTATTTCTTGGTTGATCACCATAAACTATACTTCTCAGGACCCGTCTGGAGAAAAAATAGTAATATCCAACTGCAAGAGGTGAGCAGACTAGTTATGCTCTACAAACAAAGTATAATGAACTAGATATCCATTGATAAAGCCCACATAAACCAGTATTATATAATCCCAGCCAACACACAGGGTTGCAAATTGCAATGCATCTAAATATTGAGTCAAACATTTATGCATTAAAATTCGCTAAAGATCAAAGAATGTTGCAGACCTTGAATAAAACCGGGAAAAAGCATCAAAGAGTAACAACCAAGGGCCAGGAATCTCAAGATCCATCTGTACCCTACCCTGGATAAAAATAATGATCAGGAAACATAAAATAGTTGACATAATTTAGTGAGGATCTCAAACAAATGCGAGGAAATACAAATGAAATCCCAAATGCCTGAATGAACATAGACAACAAGAAGAAAATGTATTTTCTGCAAGTATTCACTGCCCTCTTTGCTCAATTTCTCTTTCCTTTAATTTGATCCAATTACAATTTTATAAAATATAAAATATACGCACTCTCAACCTACAGCCTAATATCACAACTCTCACTGTAAAAAAATTGACCCCCAAAATCACCACTATTTCTACAATGGACATATAAAATCTACCATAGTTGCCCAAGATCAGTTAACTGTGACAAAAAATGAAAAACACAAGATATTCTAATAAACCAAAGGAGCTAGCACACATAAGTGTGCATGTATATGGAGGGGCTGCGCACAATTTGGATTAGAAGCAAGAAAGGTGGGAACTTGAGATGTTAAACAATATCCAATACGATCAGCGCAAGGTTTCAGTTCAAAGGGATGACAAGTAAAATTACGCTAGATCCTATATCAAAGCAAAACCATCACCAAAGAAGTTCCAACCAATGTACAAGATCAAACACTCCTATATTACCAATACATCTTAACATCTCCATTTCACTAAACCTAACCTACCCTAAACACAACATAATAGAAAACAGCCCCCTTATTTCTAATCCATCCATCCATACAGTAAATTCTGGTGCTTCCAACAAGTTCCAATTTTTCATATTGACCACGACTTCTGCATTCAACAGTCAACCAAGAGATCAACTTAAATAACATATCTAAATCTTTATACATCAATAACATCATATCCTAGTCATCTATGAAACATTAACTTCAAAAAAGCCTAACCAGAACCCAAAATGAAAAAACCACCAATCTGACAACGAATTCTAGCGAGGGCTTCTGCTTAAAAAAACAAAACGGAACACAAAATAACGAATTTTTACTGTACCCCAGATATCTTAAAAGCTTCAAGCTCAATCTAGTAAGAAGAAATGTCTCAGAAGCAGCATGATCCACTTCACGGGCAAGAGATTGGCGTTGACCACAAGAATCATCTGAAAAGCAAGAGAGGGAGTTTTCACTGGCAACACGTCGCCTTCTTTGTTGATAACTAGTAGAAGAAGTAGTGGTTGTAGTACCTGCAAAACTTGAAGTCCTGGACAAAAGAGGCCTAACAGAAATGACGGTCTCATCTTCAAAGGGAGAAGACACAAGCCTAGTGCTTGTAATTGGGCCATCCATTGTTTCATGTATCAATGGCATTGTTTTTGGTGTCGTTGGGTCAATTAGAAGAGAGGAATATTGTTTTGACGAGTGGAGGTTGGGGTTTGTCACAGGCAGGATATGAGAAGGCATTTTTTCCTTATTGTTTTAAAAGACACAGAATTGGATTTGGAGATTAAGCAAGCGAAAGCAAAGCAAATGTTCTAAGAGAAGCTTTGCTTTTTTTGAGACGATTATTACCAAAGTTGTCAAAAAGAGAAGAAAAAAGTTTCAATCTTTAGATGAGAAAAATAGAATTCAGTTTGGTAGTATAGTCTGGCTTTTACAAAATCTTGGAGTTCTGTTACGATGCAAATGACAGAGAGGATTCAGAGAGAGAGAGAGAGAGAGAGAGAGAGAGAGGAAGTTTAACGACCAGTTGGTATTTGCCAAAAGGGTTGGGCTTGCTGGGTGACTTTTAAAACTGGTTTCCTTTTCTTGGGTCTTTTTTTATTGGTCTGCTGGAATTGGTCGTTTTTGCTCGCCTTTGATTTGGTTTGTTAAAACAAACACTAAAAACAACTTGTCGGAGGCGTCTTTCTACATTACGAGTTCCAACTTACTAACATGTAAATTAATCAAAATAAATTAATTACTTTTTATAGTATAAAAAGTAATTAAAAAATTTCTACTTAAGTTAGTAGGATTTTTTTAAAAAAAATACCTTTTTTATTCATCAATCTTTTTATCTTATACTTTTCTTTTCCTTTCTTTTTTCTTAAAACTAAAAAAAAAAAAAAATGAAAAAATAAGTTATAAATTAGCTTCTAAAATTATGAAGACTAATTAATTAGTTTTGTTAAAATACAGAGAGAGTAAGTTATGATAACTCTTGTAATGTCTATATCGGATAAGTCCATGTCAATATTGTATCATTGTTAACCTAGATTATTATGAAAAAATAAAATTATAATTGTGTAAAATAATAAAATATAAATTTATCGCATCCATAAATCTTAAAATTTCATACTTTGCACATGATTTAAAAAAAAACAAAACAAAACAAAAAAAAACCATATGTATAGAATCTTATTAGACTTTTGAATCAATATTGAAAAATAGATTTTTTTAAAAAAATAGTTTCTTTCTCCATCCATATTAATGATGGAAATTGATATCTATTTGTTTTTCTTCGGCTTTTGATATTTTTTCATTAAGAAATAAAAAGAGTACGAAATTCTTTCTTTTATAGTTTTAACATAAGTCTCTATCAAAACTTAATCATATGTCATAATTAACTAGATAAATATATCATCATTAATAGCATGTATTATAATTAATACATGCATCGAAATTATATTATAATTAATTAAATACACTTTAAATATTATATATCATATGGACCATAATTAATTTTATATTTTAAATATATGTATTATGTGGATCATAATTAAATTTATATTCTCTCACTTGACTCATATGATATTGATTTATAATTTACCATTATTCTATTTTTCCTGTTCATTGTGTGCACTAATAAAAAAAAAGGGAAAATAAAAGGAGATCTAAAAAAAAACAAAAAGAAGCTATATGCTTGACTATCTGGACTTCAAATTTTTCCAGTTAAGTTTGGGCTAAAGGCCTTTATTAAAGAGTAGAGATCCCTATCTTATTTTGGACTTTGCTTTGGATTTTGGGCTAACGGTCTTTACTGGGCCTAAAAAAGGAATGGGCTTTTTGATTTATCCTCCTTAAAGCCTTAATTGCTGCACCCAGCATGTTGGATTTTGTAACTCGAACGAGGGAAGTTCAAGTCCTGAATCTAATGCTCTCCATTCGTTTGACAAAAATAAGTATTTCAGTTTAGTTTGGACGATTGCCTAATTAGTTATTTCGACTATATATATATTTGGATAAATTTTTCAAAAAATAAAAAACTAAAACAAAAGGATACACATTGGAATACTTAGGTTTATCCTATTACTCCACCACACAAACAGGTATAAGAAATATAGTATATTTGAAAAGTATTATGAAATAATGAATCTCCATCTCATATTCTTATTATTTATATAATTAAATTCATCATTCAATATTGAGAAATTGAAAAATTAATGCAATTTATTCAATCATTTATATATATTTTAATGGTTTACAATCCTTTCAAATTCTCTTTCTAATATTGAAGCTTATAAATAATCTCGGGATTGGTTGTTCATTAGTTTATGTACAAGTATTTTGTAGAAATTAAGAGATTATTTAGAGTTGTTATCTCTTATATTCGTTTTATCTTATAATAAATTTATTTTTTTATCATTTTTCTCTTCGATTATACTATTGGTACTATTTCTTTTATAATAAAAAGATATACGATTGTTTTTTTTTCCTTACCAAATAATTATGGATGCATAACTGACAAGGAAATCGAGCCAAATTCGAAACTAAATACTAAATTAATGAGACAAAAAGAAGGCCAAAATAGAGAAGGGCCGCCCAACTTGGGTAGCCAACCTTTCAATGGCCACCATCAACTAGTAATTTGCCAATTCGGTCGGTCATTGAGCAATGGCTAGATCTGAGGATTCTGTTTAGATATATAAAGAGTAGAGTAATGATGAGAGTGTAACTGTGTCAATTAAAAAAAAAAACACCGATAACTATGCCTAATGGCTGCTGGGCTTGTATTGGCCCAACTACTCAGTGCAAAAGCATCTGTTGGAAAGTTGCAATGGGTCAATGCACAAACAAGAAGAAAGGAAAATAGCACATGTTTCAGGAGTTCTCCCCTGTTTTTTAGTATACAAAGGAGGAGGAATGGTTTATTGCCAAAGCATGAGTAATGGGGTCCTTAATACATAAACAAACGAGAAATTATTGTTTTGATAATCTATAATAAGTATAATGTTATTGCTTGAGCCTTGAGATGATTTTTATATATAGATATATAATGGTTCTATCATTAATGGTACTTTCACTTTTATTGTACCAGATAAGTTGATCAATATAATTAAGATTGAGATGCTATATATTAAAAAAAAAAAAACATATGAATCGTTACATTATTGGATTTTACTGATAGGTATATATATCAAGATCGTAATTCAATTAATTATAATATTTAAAAAAAAGTTTCGTGTTGTTTATCATTAATCATTAAGATATTATCTTTCGTTCATGATACCAATTAAAAAAAAAAACATTCGAAATGATGATCATTTTCTGTCTCTTTGCATATTTTTAAGAGCGGATTTCAGATCATGTTACCACATTTGAAACTTGAAAACGTAGGTAGTACTCGAAGGTATAGCCAAACCAGAGAGCACTGAATTTAGCAATTCCTATAAACATGGCTTTCTTTCTTTCTTTCCCTTTCCCACTAAGTTGATTTTGTCACAACTTAGCTTTCTTAGTCTCTTTGATTTCCTACTTTCACATTTAAAGTACATCAAAAATTCACTTTAGAAAATGTTGATATATGCAAAGAGCTGCTTAGTGACTAAAAGTGTTATGCATGATTGGACTCCAACAGTTGAGTTTTGCATTAATTAATTTTATGGGCTAAGATTTGCTTTTACTTTTGCTGGAGTGAAAAAAGATTTAGCCCATTTGTTTCTTAGCTTTGAATGTTGACCTCAACCTTGGACGTTAGCAGTTGATTTCAAGTTCGTAACTTTTTTTTTTTTGTTTTTCCACAACGAGACAAGAAAATCTACAGTGAGGATGGAATATCCTTTTTGATACCCTACTTTTTTTCCCCTTTTTTCTTTTTTAAGAAAATCTACTAGTAGCTAGCTGGTGGAGCAAGTTATGGATTTTGCTTTTTAATTTTAAGAAATAAATTAATTACTTCTTCTTGTTTTAAAATTGAATTATTTAATTTCTTAATGCGTTGATTAAATTAAATTTAATATTATTTTATATTAAAAATATTATTTTCATAATATATCTTTATTTTTTTCTTTCTTCCATTTTTTAAAATAAAAATATAATATAGATTAAAAATAATATAAAATAAAAAAAACTATATAATTAGCTTTTGAAACAGATAGACTAACTAGTCTGTTTTTTTTTAAAAAAAAAATAATAATTTATAATTTGCTCTAGCTAGAATCACGCATCTTTTCCTTTCATTGATGGGACAATTTTTTTAATAATTTTGTCTGATTTTATATAAGAGATGCTCTCGTAGGAATGAGTTAATTGAGTAATAAATTATTACTATTGAGCTTAATTAGTTAGTTTATACTTATAGAAATCCTAACGTATATGCTTGTCCGTGATGGATCGACGAATCCAATCTTTCGAATACATAGTCTATGTACAGATACTTCTTAATTAATTAAAATTAATCAAGCAGCCCATGCACCCTCTAAAAGTTGATTTCGATCTCATCGGAAAGTGGGTGGGTGGATGACAGAAGATTATAAACGAATAGTTTAACCCAAATCAATGGTGATCTACTATCATAACATCAAAGATAACCATCATTAATTTTTAATGGATGCTTGCTTTGTACGCCTTTAAGTTTATAATATAATATTATTTATTTTTCTCTTGCATAACTATGGTATTTTCATTCATGTAATCCATTTATACGGATAGGAAGCTCTCGTTTAGAAAAATTTAGATTCTTTCTTTTTTAAAAAAATAAAATAAAATATAACTGGTTATATTTCAAATCTTATCATTGATTTTAAAGTTAATGATTCAGAATAGATTAAAAAAAAAAACCATAAAATATATAAAAAAATTATTTTTATTTTTATCATAGACTAAATAATAACTATTTAATTTGAATTCAATAATTTAAATTTAATGAAATAAGGGTATTATTAATTACGAGAGGATTTCAATCCCATTAACTTGGACAGTCCATCTAACGGGAAAGCTGGAATGGATAATGGAATTTTCACATTTACAGTGCCATTATGGCCTTTTTACTTGGCTAATGGAGTAGGATCAATCATTTTCTTGTCCCAGATGGTTGCAATTCTTAACATTTTTTTTTTTCAAATAATCCTCTCCAAGATGATAACGTTCAATCATTCGTGCACGGAACA